AATGAATTATTTATGTATTTTGAAAGAAAACTAAGATTCATTTTTATATATAATATAAATATTAATGAAAATAACCTCAAGCGATTGCTTCGTCAAAGCAAATTTTCTAAAACATGAAAATAAAATTCAAAACTTGTTGCTTTGATTCCACAATCTACTTGTCGCGAAATATCTTTTTGCACATAAAATTCAATTCATTTTTAAATATATGGATAAAATATTTATTAATAATAGATATGTTATAATGGAATTATAATAAAGTTTAAATATTTATTATAATATATTTTTATTTTACAATTTTCTAATTTTACATATTCAATTTATTCAAATTTTATCATTCCTTGTACATAATTATCATTAAAAAATCATTAATATAATCATTATATAATAATACAATATCTAGAACTTTATGTGCAAAAAGACCTAGCCTAAACTAATAAATAAAATATAGAAAAAGCAAATGTTACTATTCACGGGTATAATAAATATCCGTGGTCACTGTGCTCGTGCAAAATTCTACGTATACAACCAATCACTCGTGTCGATTCGGACCTTTCATCCTACGACATGATTGAGTGACCGGAGGAACAAAAATGCATGCGACTCACCATTAGATGCGAAGAGTCTGTTCTGGCAATGCTACTGCATTCTATGAAAAATTATCATCTGTCATCAAATATAGAAACTGAACAAAAAAAAAAAAAAATATTAAATACAATTTGATACACAGTTTATATAATAATTATATGAAAAAAATTTAAATAAAGAAAGAAGAAATTTTTGATGAAATTACCTGTTCGCGTGATGGATAATCGTTTTTTATTCTTAATGCACTGACTCTAATACCCAAGACAAAAATTAAAAAAAAATAAAAGACTATTAACACGCCCATTTGAATAATAAATGAAGAAAAAACACTGACTCTAATTTCACAAATAATTATAATAAATTTAATTAGAACAATTGTACTCTGAAGAACATTGAAGATACTATTAGGAAATAAATACTGATTCTATCAACCGCATTGCGCGCGGTTACAAAAATTCTCTGAAAATAAAATTG